GGGGGGGGGAGGGAGAGGCGTGGAGGGCTGATATCAAATTACGGGTCCGCGTGCCGCAGCAGGGAGCACTCCCGCGCCGTGGAGGGGGCGGGGGGCTCGGAATAAGAAAATGTAATCACGTGAGAGGCTTTTGCAGTGCCGACACCGAGGGGCAACAGCCGCGGCGCGGGGCGGGGCGGGGGCAGGGCTAGGGCAAGCCTTCGGGGAGAGCCCAGCCCACCTCGGCGTCACGAGGCCGCACCACCGCGCGCGACTGTCACCGTCAGTGACTGACATGCCGGCTTTCAGGACGTCAAGATAAAGCAGCTTCCCATACTCCACCACGCAACGCCACGCCGCGCAATAAGCCGCTATACGACGCGTGCGCCGCGCAACGGTATCACCATCACGTTCGCCTTCCCGGAAAGCGGCCGCGCGACCGACGCCGCCAGCATCCGGGAATCCGGGCCCGTTGCATTGACAGCCTCACGCCTGCACGCCTGTATCACTTTAAGAGAAATAACAGATAACAAATAACAGATGACAGATCTATCTTATAAGGTTTCTCTTGCCCTCTGTCGTTTCAAAAATGTTTCAATGAACATATTTTGCAATTAATGCTACTTTAGTCGAATAAACCATGATCAAACAGCATAATAACCTTCCTGAAATGGATCTGTTATTTGTTATCTGTTATCTGTTATTTTTCTTAAGGTGTGATACAGCCCCTGCCTGATGTGCGGCGTGGCGGGACAACAGACGCCCGCTGAAATGTGGCCTGAACCAAAGGGGTCCCACTCATATTTTTTGTTTGTAGACGTGGAATATCTAGAATACTTTTGAAATATTTGGAATATTTTTTGGAATTTCTGGAAACGTTTTGGAATATCTGGAATATCTGGAAAATTTTACGAATGTCGGAATATTTTGAAGTGTGTATACATGAAGTATCCAAGTAGTGGTCCACCCGTCGCCTGAATCTGCGGCCCGCAACAGGCCCGGCCGTCATGAAAGGGGGAGGAGGGGGGAGGGAGGCGTCGGCTACGTCCACGACACCTCCTCGCGCTCCGCTGCCGGGGCCATCACGGTGAGTGCTGGGGCGTGCGTGCGCGCAGTTTCATTTGGCCCGGCAGAGCGATCCAGATTAACGCTCCTACGAGCACACGGGGGGAGCCAATTGAGTCGGTGCTGCAGCTGCCGGGGCGACTCGCCTTGGGCGGCCTGTGGTGGTGCGGTCGTGATCTGCTGCTGCTGCAGCGGGTCGTTGGCGACGTCGTGGGCGCCGCGGCGGAGGCGCCGCAGCTGCGGCAGCTGGGGCACGGCGCGCGCCAGCTGCGTCGACAGGCGCCGCACGCCCGCCCCGACGCGCGCCGCCGCGTTCCTGAAGGACGCTACAGCACAGAGGGGAGGCCATGGACCATCACCACGATATACCTATATTTTCCTTTTTGTTATTTCAAATTCAGTTTTCGCAGGTCCCGCGACACCGGCTCGGCTCAGCTCGGCGCGCCCCACTGCCGCCCTGCTCACCCCGCAGCCGCTGCCGTCGCTCCTCCGTCGTCTCCTCGGCGCCGCCGGCCGCCGCCGCCGCCCGCACCGTCGCTGCCGGTGGCGTGGACCGCGACGCATCCTCGTCGCCGGCCGGCCCGCACCGCGCCAGCACGAAGAAGGTCAGCCCGCCGGCCGCCAGCGCCAGCCCCACGGCCAGCCACATTTCGGGCCTAGAGGGGGAGAAAGTTTATATCACACTCCACTGTGTGTGAGGGGGACGCGCATCACAAGGTGACCGCGCACGCACTTGAAGGGGAGGATGAGCGTCTGCCAGCTGTTGTCGGTCGTGGCCTCGGGCGTGAGGAAGGTGAGGCACTCGGAGTGGTACGGCACGGAGAGGTCCATGAGCCGCAGGTGGAAGGGCGAGTAGTGCAGGTCGCCCAGCACCAGCTCGGCGCGGCCCGAGGTCACCTCACCCAACAGCCCGGACAGCGACCCGTCCAGCTGCCGCCGCCCCCACTGCTCGCGAGACGCGCCCGGCGCCTCGTACAGCCGCGGCACGAAGTTCATGGCGCGCGCCAGCGCCTGCATCACCTGCGGCCGACCTTGACTGTGTGCCATGGGGTGTGCCATGGGATGGGTCACTACCATGGCACACCTGTGGTCTGTGCGGTGACCTGGGTGACCTTACCTTGAGAGTGTACCATGAGGTGTCCCATCGGGTGTGCCACTAATGAGCATGTCAGAAGAAACGCCTTGGGATCATGCAGAAAGTAATGTCCGTCATTCGCCGTTACGAGCCCCTGGTGAGCGCCTAGTGGGTAGGCAATATCTGACCTGCAGTGCATGCGGGTACGGCGGGTTGGCCTACCCCGGGCCTCGCAGGCGCCGAGCCCCCGGAACTTGTCGAAATGAATCGGGGAAAAACGGACGTACTTTCTGGACGAACTCAGGGCTACATTGCCATTGGGATGGGGATACCGATAAGGAGATATAGAGAACAATTCTATTACTTAAGGTGAATGGCTAAAGGGAATGCCAAGGGCAATGCTGGCATGACCACTCATTTTCTTTCTCTTAACGTACGGCCTTGAAGCCTATCAATAAGTGATGGATGTGAGCCTCACTTTACTCACAAATGTTAGTCCTAGTTCTAATGTGTGTGGGGGTGGATGTGTGCACGTGTGTGTGATTTCTGACGAGGGTGAGGAGTTCTCTCTGAATTAGGTGGCGAGTGGGCGGTGTGGAAAGCTTTTCCCGGCTTTTCCTAAACTGGGGAAAGGAATTAGCAGGACGGCGAAGTGCGAGGTCGCTCGCCCGAGCGAGTCTCTCCCAGTGTCAGGAGCTCTCTCGGCGCTCCACCACGCCTCTACGCCCTGGTTTCCTTATCCCCCCTTCCCCCCCCCCCCATAACTCGCAGAACTTTGACCTGCACTTCGAGACCGCTGAATCCAGACGTGACGTCGCCGTGCTCGTTGGCGACGTGCCTCAGCTTGTAGGAGGCCGGCACGTGCTCGAACGTCACCACGGCCAGCGTCTGGTTCTGCAGGTCGGACGTCTTGTCCCTGCGGGTCCCCCGGCCGCGCCGATGCATACATACATAATGATAAAAACCATGAATAAATTAAACTTGTTTTTGCAAGTTAAAAGAATCAAATAAAAAATAAAGCCTCACATCCCTGTGTGTGCGAGGAGTTGTGCTCTCCTATACCTGAAAAGATCGGCGTTCTGCCGGAAGGCGCCCCTGCGCCAGATGTCGAGGCGCCTCGTCACCATCACGCCCTGGATGGGCGCGGGGAACGGTACCGTGGACAGCTCGAACCACGACGAGCGGCGGCCTGGGACACGAGAGGCAGGGTCCCGTGAGAGGGGCGGCCAGGCTGAATCCTTAATTCCGAGCGTGAGCGTATGCGCGCGTGTGGGCAGCCGGCGGCAGCCGGTGGGGGGGGGGGGGATGTCGTTTGCAAACAACCCTGAAGGTGGGCGAGGAAGCGGGACAAAGTTCACTTCTTAAAATAGTTGTTGAAGTACTTAACACGATGTTGAGTATTTAATAATAATTTCCATATACGTGTGCTCGTCTGCTCTACAGGTGACGTGCGCCATGGGGCAGAGGTGGGGCGTGTGGCGGTGGCGCTCTTTGGCCATCAACTTTCTCCAACAAACAAAAACGCGTTCCACCACAGAAAAGGTGCATGGGAATGAGCCAAACACAAAAGCAGGTGTTCCTCTTACTGACCGGCCACGCTGCCCGGCGCCCAGGGACCGCCGTACCGCCGGACGAACACCACGTTCACGATCTTCTTCCAGAGGTAGTGCAGATCCGGGCTGAACAGCCTACGGTCGTGCAGCACCACGAAGCGACCTCGGGTGTCCAGCACGCGCTGCCTGCAGCAGGACACGAACAGACAGACAGACAGACAGACAGACAGACAGACAGACAGACAGACAGACAGATAGACAGACAGACAGACAGACAGACATCAGAGCGATTGCATGCCCCACTCCATTGCTTCATTGGTATCGAGGGTTCCCAGTTGCCAACTCGTTGTGCTTGCCCGAGCCCAACTCGCGCATAAGACTCGCCACAAAACCATGCAAAACTCCCATAAGAATGTTGCCAACTCGCGCCTATAACTCGTCAACTCGTCGTACACACATTTCCCGAAGGGGGGATCCGATTGGTATTTTGTCGGGCTACTCTCTCTATCTCTTGTTATACGTCAATACAGAATCCACTTTGAATCGCATTATTTCCAGCCCTCCTGCTCAGTAGAAGGAAGCGGAGGAAGTCGCGCCCAGAGGGACGGGACCGCAGATGCGCGAGGCGACGACAGAGGGGGAGCTGCCTCTGAGACGACTATTCTGCGAAGACTACTACTTTTCCCTGTCCTGTCAATCAGTCGCTGATCAGCACCGCCCTGATTGTGAGCTGTAAGAGTTTCCCCCTTGATCTAATCGGGGAGGTGACGACGAGCGAGGAGGGAGCCGTCTCCCCCTCCCCAAGGCTGCCAGCGCGACCCGACTCACCATCGGCAGAGCTACTTTTGTGGGAAACTTCCCTCTGATGGATTGGATTCCTATACTGCAGGAAGGCCCAGCTGGACCGCTCACGCACAAAAAAATATTGTACAGTTGGGACTCAAGAGTTGTTGGGCGTCTCGCATCTCTGAAATTTTTCCCTCTCGTGGTTTTTACACTGCTATTCCGAATGAACTTTTTTACGACACTCCTTAAGGTTTCGGCACTATGCATTCGAAAAGAACCCATTGTCAGGGAAATGAAATTGCATTTATATCTGTGATCTAGGGGACCAACACTCCTGAAATCATATGCTCACTGTCCCTGAAATCCCTCCGAAATCATGTGAGATCCCCGAAATCAGAAGTAATCTATCCCCGGGCCTTGGCTATCAGAAATCCTTGAAATCACCTGAAATCCCGCATATTTCATGTGTACAACAAGATTAGGGTTGTTTCGGGTACACTGTAGTACAGTGCCAATTAGACTTATTTTCGTGGAAACGCAACTACGTGGCTTCGTGGCCCTCTTCCCCATGCGTCAGTATAAACGACCCAATCGGGTTCATTTACCCCCCGCCCCCAACCAAAAAAACGTTGTTTTCACTTTGTATACTATCGAGAATCGCTGCTCATCGACGATTCTGTCTGACGGGCGTCTTTTCTCCACGGTGAAGGCGAGAGAGACAAGTCAGTTCGTCCCTTGCCTCTGATTCGGATGACGACACCCACGCATCGGCGATAGAGTTCGCATGACGCCATCCATCCGCCTATCGGGTCCAAAATAAAAAGTAAATATAAAGCCAAACAAAGAAAAGCACTCACGAGTCGCCGAAGCGCAGCAGGCGGCCCAGCTGGATGCCGTTGGCGAAGAGCAGGAAGTAGGCGCGGCAGCCCTCCTTGCGCACCTGGCGGATGGCCTTGAGCGTGCGGTAGTTGGGCGACAGCAGGTCCTCGCCGTCCTGCACCGTCACCTGCTCGCGGCACAACGGGATGGCGGGGACGCGTGGTGAGGCGCGCACATCGCGGCAGGAAATTAAAGTGTTGGGCGATACACAATAATGGCTGCGGAGAAGGTGGGCGGCCGCCGAATAACTTTTCGACATGAGAGAAGGCACCTCTCTCATGTTTTCGACGTGCTTTTGACGGTTTGAGTGGGCGCGCCTCAAGTAGTCGGGACGGCTCCTTTACCGATACGGTCCCTTTACCCTGACGAGGGCCCAGATGATGGGGACCAGGACGCACTAACTCGCGTGGAGGACGGGAGGGGGCCGGGAGGGGTGTTGTTGCTATTAGAGATGTGATCACAGAGCGCCTTGCCTCGAGTGGCGCGCCGCCCCTCCCTCGGTCCGCAGACCCCCTCCTCTATACCCCGAGGGGGGGCGGCAAAGTGCCGCAAGGAACAGCTGGGGGGAAGGATAGGGGAGGGGTTGTCGCCGCACCTTGAACACGGGGACGAGGCCGAGCTTCTTGAAGAAGAGCCTGCCGAACACGTGCTGGTGCAGGGCGTCGCCGATGAGCGCGAGGCAGTTGAGGTCCTCGTCGACGCGCTGCACCAGGACTCGCAGCAGCGCCGCCAGCTCCGCGTCGGAGGTGGTCTCGGTGGCGCGCGCCAGCAGGGCGGCGCGACCAGAGCTGCGGCAAGTCGAGCCATTTTTACCTGCCTAATCACCTCAAAAAATGTGTTGTTGATTTTAATACACTTTTCGTGTTGTGCTTGATGTTCTTTGGTCCATTGCCCTATTGTGGCGCGCGCATTCTACTCGAAACAACAGCGAGCTTCTGAAGAAAAATGACCAACACGAAAACTGTGCTAATTCTCACTCTTTTGGGGCCGGAGACGCAAACTCACGTCTTTTGCTGCTGCTGTTGCTGTTCTTGATGCGGAATCAGGCCGTCCTCGCCGGGCTCCTCGACGGACAGGGGCGGCTCGTCCCACAGCGGGTCGGGTGCCCGCCCCCGCCTCCCCGCGCCCGCCAACGCCGCCGCCCCCGCGGCCCACGCCAGCCACACCAACACCGACAACGCCACCGCCGCCGCCATCTCTCGGGTGTGACTCGACTCGACGTCCGATGATAACCACCTGCCTGACGGCCAAAGTGAGGCAGGGGATATGACGACCGGTCAGCGCCCCACACCGCCGACAGGCTGTCTGCGTCTTTCTCTGTCGCTCTCGCTGTCACCCGCCTCACCACCCGAGCAGCAGGCTCTCTCTCTCTCCGGTCGCACTCCACGTGGGCCACTGAACCGTGAACCAAACGAACGGGATGGTATCGGGCTCGAGGAGGGCCGGTCGGGCCGGGCAGTAAAAGGCGCACGGGGGGCGGGGGTGCCGTGCGACGCGCCGTGCGTGCGAGCGAGGGAGGGTCTAAGAGGGAGAGCACGAAAACTACTTAGCTCCCCACAAAAAAAGAAGAACGGACCAACGGAACGGGGGCAGACAGACCGAACGGACGGATGGTCGGACGGTCGGACGGACGGGACGGTCTGCAGAAGAGCCGACACTCATGTACATTCAGATAGGACGGCCTCTCCCCGGCCTCCATTGTCTCGTGGCCGCGGCCTGTTTTTCGTCGCTCCTTCTCACGGCCCCTCTTTTTTCTCTCCCCCCCCCCCTACCCGCCCTACAATCCTACTCAAGCCCCTTACACAAACGACACTTTCCCTCTGCCCTGTCGCGCCTGCCAAACACATCCATCTGCTCCGCCCCTCCCCCAGCAGCAGCAGCGGCGGCCGCGGGGCACAGCGTCGGCAGAAAGCACATAAAATACAACACAATAACTATACGCTCCTTACAGAGCGAGCGAAAACGAGCGGAGGAGAAGAAATTGGCTCCGGCTTCTGCTGAACTGCTCGGCCGGGGGAGAATCTTTTTGCTCCGTTCGCAGCAGCGCGCCCGCGCGCGCGCGCGCGCGCCCGGTCCGCCGATCCGGAAGAGCTTTGTGTCCCGGGCCCCCGAGAAGCCCGAGCTGCGAGGCGCCCCACGGCCGGGGGACTGTGCTGCGATTGCCTCGCCGGGGCCGCGTCCTGGCCACCCTTATTGCGGCCCGCCAGTCCGTCACACACAAAGGGAGCCCGCCGCCGCCGCCGCCGCCGCCGCCAGCCGCCACCGCCCCCTCGACATAGTTCAGCCGGAGCAGCAGGGCGGAGGAGTCGCCGTCCGTCCCGGGCGGGGCGTCCCCCTCGGCCACCCGGGCGAGTCGCCACTCGACTGGAGCAGAGAAGGGTAGGGACGCGGGATGAGGAGGAGAGTGAACTTGTCGAGTGTTCTGCGTGCGTGCGCTGTAAGGTCTCGGGTGTGTGTGGGCGACGGAAGGTCACCACGCATATACGCAGCAAAAAAACAAGAATTACTCGATTTCCTCGTATTTTCCAGTATGTGCTCAGTGTTCTTTTTGTTGTTTTTTAAGAGCGTTGCTTTGAACTCATTTTGCAGGACATTCTTCCACACAGAAGTAAACCCAACGCCCTAAAAAAATCGAGTAAACAAGAAAATTGAGTGCTTGTTTTCCTGGGTGCGTCTCACCCCAGACGACCCCATCCAGACCGCCATCTAATAACGAAAGCAGAGAGCGAGCGAAGAAGAGAGTGAAGGAGAGAGACACAGAGACACAGAGACAGACAGACAGACAGACAGACAGACAGACAGACAGACAGACAGACAGACAGACAGACAGACAGACAGACAGAGACAGAGGCAGGGGCAGGGGCAGAGGCAGAGGCTGAGGCAGAGGCAGAGGCAGAGACAGGGAGAGAGACAGAGAGAGGGGAGGGATGGCAACCATTATAATCGGATTCCGAATAGAGAATAGAGAATGCGACCGACGCGCGAGGTGGAGGGAAGTTTGGACCGACGCAGCAGCACGGCGTGTCAAGAGGGAGGGGTTGGGGGGGACTGGGGTGAGAAGGAGGTCCGCTAATTCCGCTTGCCCGGGACCCCTCACGCCAGCAACAGGCCGCGAGCTTAGAAAAGAGAAGGGATTCTGTATCGCACAAATGCTGTGTGTGTGGTGTATGTGTGTGCGTGCGCGGGTATCTGCGAGTTCGCAATGCTGTCAGAGCTCCACGCGAGGATTTCTGTGCTAGTCGACAAGAGCGGGCCCTCGGCGTTGCAGTCCCGCGAAAGAAGAAGAGAGAAAGAGGGGGGAGGGGAGAGAGACCGACAGACACGCCGATGACGACCGTAATCGACAATTTCCCCTCTCCTCGCTTAATTTTTCTCTTTTGAAACGTTTCCAAGAAATGTTCGCGAGGGTTGTACTCGTTCCCCTTCAGAAGCAGCAGCAGCACCAGCACCAGCAGCAACAACAGCAACAGCAGCCTGTTTTTCCTGTTCCTATGGAAATAACTGCTCCCGAAGTTCACACAAAGTCTCTTCGTCTCTCCCAGCAAGAGACGCCTTCCGCGGGATACCTTTCTGGTCCAGGCGCGCCGCGCAGCAGACAGTGGTGCACTCCGTGTCTCTGCGAATATAATATCGTGCGGCAGGATCTCGTCCCGGAAATTATCTTGTTCCCGCCAGTAAAAGGAACGAGGGCGGCTGACGACTGCGCCGGGGCTGCGCCGGGGCTGGGCGGCGCTCGGGCCGAACGGCAGGCGTACCGCTGGCGCTGGCGCGCCCCTATTCTCTCCTTAAGGGGTGCAGCTGCGGAGAAAAGGTTCGCGGTAATAGTGTCAAAACTCGCCGGGCGCGCCCGACAACAACGCAACGAACAGACTTACTTCCAAAGAAAAAAAAAATTGCACAGGTACGAAAGGGAGGAAGGGATACTTTGGCAGACAATGCGCTCCAGGCAGGTGGCAGTCGACACCCAGGAGTGATTGATAGATGGACAGCCGACCACTCTTCACCTCCCCGGCCCCATCTCACTCGCTCTCGAGCACTCTCGTTTTTTTCGCCCTCTAGACAGCTGGAATCCCGCGACTGCGGGCTCCGGTAGGAGGGAGGGGCAGGGAGAGGGGGGCGTGACTAACGACCCGGGTAATACAGACTTCCACTTGACCCACATTCACATTTAACGAAATTCACCGCTACGCCGAGCCATGCTGCGCCACACTACGCCGCTCCACGCGCCAGCCGGCTCCAGCTGCGTTGCGTACGGGCAGCAATTACTTTGACGGGGCTGGATCACATCGGCACCGCCCCTCACGTCATCCCTTCCCAACAGCCGAGACGCACTCAACTTCTTCTCTCGTCCTGCCGGCGAACCCGACGGCTTTTGGGCATTATCAAAAGGAGAAAGGACTTTTGAGTATAATCCGCTTTAGACACGGCCTGTGTCGATTAGGGGGTGGGGGAGGGGGGTTATCCCGGCAAACCAAGGGTTAACCCGAGGTAATGAAAGGATAATCAGGGTAATCCAGGGCTACTGCAGGGTTAATCCGAGCAATCCGGGGTAAACCGTTTACCGTTACGCCCTCAAGATCTCGGCACAATGCAATAAACACTGCAGGAGAAGTGAGTGTTGCCGCTGCTGCTGCGTTGGCGTTTTACATTATTTTTTAAACAAAATTTTGTCTCTTTACGGACAAAATACATTTGCGCCCATGATCCAATACATAATGGACGACGTTGTTTGGTTTATCCAACAGCCGAAGGCATGGGCCTCTCTGACTCGCCTCGCACGCAGCGCTTCCCATCGAAGAGCCCCGTTCCGCTCACCCCACGCGTCCGCTCCCCTCTGGCCCCCTGGGGCTGGCCTCTCGTCCATGTGACCGTGCCCATCGCCCCCCCCCCTCTCTCCCCTTCCTCTCCCATAGCTCCCTAGGGCCATCAACACTTTGCAGTGCCCGAGGTTGATGCATTGCCGTTGACCCCCGAACCTTAACACTTCCCGTGTGCAGCCCGTATTTTACCGGCGTAGCCTTTATCGGGAGGGGTCTTTTTAGCACATGATATATTTATCATACTGATTTTACCCTTACACTATCAAAACTAAAGGTAATGTTTCAACAGAGAGTACTGTCGGACGGAGACGCGCTAGATCCAGTCTTAGTTTCCACTAGAGATACATGAACCCTAGAGTGGTGGCATTCTGACACAACAGGGTACCTTCAGGGTCGGGACCCAGGATATGTCTACTAAGTGAAGCCATCGCAAAAAAGACCCATTTAGAAGGTCTTATCATGCCCAATGTCTGGGAGTGCATTTAATTAAGAAGGGCAGCCCGTGCCTAAGACGCTGTCCGATTTGGCTGATATTTGGTGGACATGTTCCTCGATTGAGTTGTTAAAAG